CCCGCAAACCGCAGAAATTCCGCAGACCCCCTCAGACCCCGCAGACCCACGAACCCCACAGAATATACAGACCCCACAAACCCAACAGACACTACAAACACCACAAAACCCTACTATTCCGCAGATCCCATAACCCCTCAACAGCCCTCAACCCCCACCCCACAAACGTAATGGCAGAACGCAACGTGTAGCAGAATATAATATAAATATCGTATAATAGGAGCCATGTAATCCAATCCGAGAGGGAGGCAAAGATTCGAAAAATAATCAGAATATTTAAAGAAGGGGGAGCTCCCAAATTATCAGATCATTTAGAGCTAATTTTTTCTAAGAGATTCTAAACCTTCCACGGCCCGGAAGAAAATAATGAGGCTCAAAGCCGAAAAATTAGGTCGCATACAATCGCCAAAATCGCAAGTAACGCCAGCATTTTATTGAAATATAGTTCGAATATATCTCGAAAGCGATATAATATTATAATATTATATATCTATCATTCATAATCTTAATTGAAAATAAGAATAACGAATTCTACTCTTGAAAAATTCAAAGAATTTCCGATATTCATCTCCCTTCTTAATATAAATACTTCAATTCATAAAGATTGATGAAATTACAATCGGATTTCATATTAAATCGATAGAATAATCATGATATATTCAAATTCTTGAAAATCATATTTTCCTTCTCGATATGAATTTATATTCAATTTGATCAAGGTCTTAATATCAGCAAAATATGGATATCAAATTCGAGTTGAAAAAATACCTATATACGGATATAAATCTAAGTAATAATGATTCGATCATCTGAGGGGGCTGGTTTGTATTGGTCATAAATATGACTAAGAAAAGATTCTATAATAAATGAATTGAAGAAAACGAATTTTTATCCGTGAAGTTCGGCAACCGGTCGAACCGGTTTGTAGCTCCAACGACATCATGTCTCCGCCCGCTCCACTATTTGTTCTTAGACCCAGGAGTCGGATCTTTCACTGCATATTCACCATCAGCCAGACGAGACCAAGTCTTGTCGCCCGCTGCAGTGTCCGAGATCGTAGTTGCGGATATAACGCTGCCGTCCTTGTCACTCCAGGTAATCTTGTTGCCCTTCTCGAACTCAACTTCAATATTCGGGAGTGTGGCATCAGACAGCCCTCCGGGCTTCGCACAAACCACTAGTGAACGCGCAGGCTCGATTGTTTGACTAGTGTCGAAGGCGACATCATACTGAACGGTTGAACCTGGATTTTGAGGATCAGGTTTCTCCACTGACAATGTCCATCCCTTGATGTCCTTCGTCACATGCCCAGCATTGTAGAGCTCCACCCAGTCCGCACCTTCGCAGGTACCAGCCACACCGCTAAAGGCGACCTCATTGAGCACGATGTTGTACTCCTTCGAAACGACATTGCATTTATCGTAGTAGTCCCAGCAGCAGTCTCCGTGCACCTCACATTCTGAATTGCACTGGCAGAGCTGGGTCTTCACGTACTTAGTGCTGCAGCCGTACTTCTGGCAAGTCGGCTCCGAATATCCACAGCACGAGGCAGAACAGTCTGAAAAGCCTGCATTCGTTGGCAGACCACCATAGTGCGTGTTCTCAAAGGCCTTCGTGCCTGGAATCATTGAGGCTTTGCTGGCCGCTGCACAGGTACCTCGTTGATCAGTTGGCATTGGAGTTTTGGAGTTCGGGTAGTACGTAATGTGCAGGTTTGTCACATCCGTACTGGCTGCATAGTCGGCCTTCAGACAGCGGTTGATCCTTGCAGTCAAGTCCGGCTGTCCAAAGACACGGATCATGCAAAGGATCTTCAGGGTCCCCATCATTTCAGCCTTTTGCTCGGCCTCCTGCGTCTTCGTAAGCTTCTCGGTCTCGCCATAGGAGTGCCACTCTCTGTTGTAGCAACCCGTGTAACTCCTGCAGGCAGTGTTGTGGGTCAAGATGTCACATGCTGCAGTTTCCAGCGCTTTTTGAAACTGAGCACAATCTGTCTTCTGACCGTTCCACTTAACCTCCTTGGAGTCGCAAAGTGCTGTCTGAGTATTGGTCTCATTTTGTGCCTTGACTACAGCATCACGGGAGGCTCGCCAGTCGCTCAGCAAGGTGCCAAAGTGGTTCTCAAAGTATTCCAAGTACTCCTTGGGAGAGTTCCAAGTTGCACCTGTTTGCTCGAAGTCACAAGTACTGGCCTCGGGAAGAACATTCTTCCCCTTGGTGCCACTCGCTTCATCGCCATGAAAGTCTTTCTTGGCGTCGACAAGCGCAGATTCCTTGTTTCCCTGAATGATTCTGCAGGAGTCCAGCCCCGTTTTCTGAATGCCCTCATCGACTCTGCACGTCTTGTGAGAGTTTTCGAGCGCTGTCAAATCTTCGAAGCCGGCCGGGCCTCCGAAGTCAAAGCTGCAAGCTGTGAAGGTTGCCCAGGAATTGTCTAAGGTCTGCTGAGTCAAGTTGTTTTGACTGCGAATTGTGTTCTGCATAGAATACAGCAAAGGCTCAATGCTCTTTGCGAAGTCAGCAGTTGTCACGGCACTGCTATTGCTAGCCTCCTGTCCCATCTTTACCAGGGTGGTCTGAATAGCCTGCAGACTTAATGGAATGCTCATCTTTCCATCCTGAAGAATTTGCTGTAACTCGCTGGCCGCGGATGACGAAGCCTGTGAGCTCACGCGATGGGTGGAGAGCCTTCGACTCTGATCACCCAGGGCGCCCCAGGGCAACAAGGCCATCAACACAGCAATCATCTCCGAAAAATGCTTCATTTTGGCAGGATGTATGCCTGCCCAGGGCAAAGCAAGCGTAGATTGAGCTAAGCTCTTGAGCAACAGCAAGGTTTCGAATTGCAGAGACCTGTCGGCGACCTGCAATCACAAGCTCGACCAGAATGCAACGCATGCCTTCAAACTCACGCAAGCTAGAACAAGCACATCTTGGTTCGAGCAGACGCAACTGCTGCACATTAACAGGGGAAGCGCTTCCCCGAGAGCTCAACCCTTGTGGATGAGTACAGTGACACATGGTAGCAGCACCGAGCAATTTGCTACAGGTGCTAATCAGCTTCCTTCTCGGAGTGCCCAGGCTTCGCACTTGGCACATCCGACGCTGGATGGTGACCATCCGCATCGCTCAGAGCTGCGTCTGTTCCACTCGTGTCCTGACGAGCAAGGAATTCGTACAGAGTCTCATCTGCTTCTGACAGGCTCCAGGTGGACCTCACGGGCCGAGAAGACATCTTCAGCAGCCGACCTCGTCCAGCTCATCTGTGCAACCGCATGCCAAAAGCAGACTTGCAATCTGGGCATGCCGCTCCGCGTGCGGCGAAACCCCAGACGGTGTCGGAGTGGCCTAGTGCAACCGTTTAGGGCGCCTGTTCATGCTATACAGCTGCGCTTGGAAATCCTGTTGCCGAGATGCCTCGTGCGATGCACTGTGATGCTGCTGCTCGCCTCCGGATAAGCGCTTGTGACAGCTGGGGGTGTACCTGCTGCCTAGCTCAGGCTGCCACCATCGTCTGATGGCCTGACAAGCGTTCGCTTTTGGACTACTTGAGCTAGTTCTCGCGGGAAGAGTGCTCTGCAGCAGAAACGTGTGAATTCGAGCTGGTTCCCTCACATGTTCCTGTTTAGAGCTTGTTCCTCAGGAAGAACTTCGGATGGTTGGAAGTGCTGGCGATACATCGGCGCAGATGTTGAGGATTCGCAAACGGCGCGCAAACTGATTCTGCAGAGCCAGCGGAAGCTATTTCCCGTTGTGACAACCATTTCAGTCTTTCAACAACATGAGAAACACTGAACCGCAGAACATGCAGCTGCTTGTGGCACAAACTCAGCCCTGCAGCCGTTCCTTCGCGAGGGAGGATCGTCGACGCTGGCTTCGTTCTCAGCGTCCTGGAGGGCACGGTTTTCGTGAGGTTTGGGGCAGAAGCAGAATTCTGCCTGAGCCTCTGAACCCTCGTGGCTGCACGGGGAGGCATCTGGACCTGCCCAGTAAAGCTCATGAACCCAAGTCTGATGGAGGGTTGCAAGATGTTGCAAGTTCGGCCGCACACCCACGCGCTCGACTTCCGAGCTTTCGTCGTTGCTTGAGACCGGCTCAAGGGGAACCTCAGACATGCGCTGCTGTTGCATGTGACAACCATCCTTACTGTGATGGCCGAGAAACGCCGGAGGCACCACCAGGGCTCTGTGTTCCGTGAAGGGCTTCTTGCTGATCCGGGGTTGTCCTCTCAGAAAGTGGCCATAAGCGACAAGCCTCTTGGACTCTAAAGCCGAGGTCGAGAATGGCAGCACACGGTGCTCTCAAGTCTGAGAGACAGTAAGACTCCGACGATGGCTGCGACCCAGAGGCGGAAGCTCCTGAAAATCTTCTGACGACACCCCGAGCCACATCAGCGGTCTGAAGCTGAGCCTGCATCATCCGCACCAGCTGTGTGGATCGGCCACTTTATCCTTGCGAGGGCTTCTTCAAAGCGGCAGCCATGTACAGTACCCTCCGACTGCTGAGCAGGCCTGGGTAGATCAGGACGTGATGAGAGGGCCAGCTGCTTCTTAAGCTCACTGCACCTTCGAGCGCCGCCGTGCATCTCTCACGCGAAGAAGCTTCGTTTACAAAAACCCTTCGGCCTTTCGCGCCACTCCTCCACTTCAGACAGGAGCTGTGCCTCCGGGCGCTCATGCAAGAGCCATCCACACTCAGAGCTTCAGATGAAGTGATGCCTTGCTCTTCTCAGAACTTCTCGAAATGACCTCTTGATCTCGAAGTTTTGCAACGAGCTGTCCCACCTGCTCGCAGTCAGGCCGGTTGCAGCACGGCCAAACGCACAAGCAAGAGCTTTCCGAAAGACCTCTACAGCATGATCATGCCGTTCGCGTTGGACAAGAGCTTTCAGCTCATCACAAGTGCTCCGCAGGTCCTGCCAGGTCTTGGAAGACAAGACATACACAGCAAGGCAGAAAGGAACGGCAAGATGGGAGTGGCCGGAGCATTGCCGTAGCAAGTGGCTACAAGCCTCTCCGGACCGGCGGACCGGTGATCGGCAAGTGCCAGCAAGGGTATGTGCACCGCCCGCCAGGACAGGTTGATCAATCCAGTCCAGATCTCAGGTCTTCTTGAGTTCAATTTCGGCAACGATCGAGAATGGAAATTCAGGCAGAGTCAAAGATGCGGTGCAAATTCGTCCGCAACACAGAGGGCCACAGCCACACGCCCGTCGCGAGCGGCAACGGCATCCAACCAACAACTTTACAGCATTTGACTCATGTTTGTTTCCATCATGTACCAGCATGTATCATGCTGTCTCGCTGTTTTGTAGCATGGCACGAAACTAACTACTGCACGAGGCGATGCTGATCTACCAAGTCTGATACTTAACCAGCCAACAACAACAAAAACTAAAAACTTGTTTCTGCATAAACCGGATTGGCCTCAAGCTCCACCTCTCCATCTGCTGCTCGCCTGGCCCATTGGCTTGAGTGAAACATCGCAACGCCGGCCCGCAGCTTAGGCCGGGGCTCTAAAAGCTGCGCGGCCCCTTCTTCTCCGAGCCTGGGAAGCAAAAACAGACAGATGCACAATGATGCATAGGTGCAGGCAACGGCCCGTGTTCGAAGCATCAGCAGAACCGTCTCATGCTGAGACTTCGAAGGCTGTCCAACGCAGTCCCGTCAGGCTCACAGCAGGTGCCGGTCCATCTCACGAGCTTCGTCTAGCAACTGCAGACACATATCGCCCACCCGATGCTTTCCTTGTGATGCGTGATTCTGCTCAACTTGCGATGCACATCTCAAGCTATCCGAGGAATCGCCATCCAATTCAATGTCAATTCGTGCCGACGCTTACACGCGGCACGCAGCGAGCATCATGAATGCGTGCGGGGACGAATGAGAACACTGAATCTTGGGAATCAAAAGTCAAGCGCGCAAGGGGACCTTTGCCTGGGGCAGCTCCGAGCCAGTGAAGAATACAACGACTGGAGCTCAGTGACGCAAAAATCTGGGTAACAAGCAAAGAGTTCGCATCGTAGACTTCCTCAGCAGCCACCTTCGTTCGGGTCGTTTAAAAGCCGTGCAGCTGACCTCTCTTCGGCTTGCCGGAGCAGCCCCGAGCCCCGCCCCGCCTTGGCCTGTAAAACTGCTGGTGCTGTCCAGAGGAGCAGCATGATGGTGTAGTAGGTCGCTGCAATCCCCACAGACATGCGCTGGAAGCTGGAGAGCTCCCCCTCCAAAGCCTTACGAAAAGCTAAGAAGCCGCCACAACCACAGCGGAAACCCGCTGCCAGACTGAGGTGATGGCCAACCCTGCTAAGGTGCAGGAGAAGGCCAGGAAAGAGCACTGGAGCAGGGGAATCGCCAGCTCTCGCTCGAAGGCATCGAAGACGTTGTCCGCTCTCTGCAGACGGCAGCAGGGGCACGCGACTGCCTGAGACGCTTCAAAAGGCCAGGCTTTGGAGTTGGAGCCCGTGGAGCCCAAGGGAGTCTGAGGAAGGTGCCAACCAGACGATGAAGGAGATGGTTCGCAACCAAATTTGCGCAGCAATGACCTGCCAAAGTGATGCCCTTCTTCGTTAATCCTCTGCTGCAAGAACGGAACAACAAGTCGGCAAGACCGAGGCAGCGAACGGGAGCATCAGTAAACCACCGAGGATCTTCAAAGGACCCTGGCTCAGTGCTGCAATAAGTCAACGCAACATGTATCCGTCCGAATTGGTTTTTTGGAACTCATGCGCATGTTCATCTCAGGTCTGTTGGCAGGAGCTATCTACATTTTTGACATTCGTTTCCTGATGGAGACGAGCTTCCTTCCGTGGTTGCCTACAGACGAATATTAATCTGCGATCTCGGGATTCAACTCGTGTCGAAGGGGACAAGTTATATGCAACAGGATTCACCAATTCCCCTCCTGCCGCGTGATGTCTTCGCGGGTCTATGCAGTGCTGTCTGCTGTGCTCACTGGACCCGCTCTTCGTACGATTCACCTGCTGACAGACTTATGAAGACAAGGACTGTTTTAACTCGTTGCTTCGCATGTTGCGAATTGCAGTATCGCCTTGCGCCTGATCTACGCGAACAAAGCACAAAACGGCATGCCGTGTCACAAGCCCCTCGCTCCTTGACCAAACAACACCTACACCATAAACACCAGTCCCCGGCCCAGCAACAGGGCTTCGTGATAAATGATCGCGTCAACGATCAGCTTCAATCTCGCAAAACAGTCTGGCTGTCATGGGCAGGGCACCATCTCGGAGCTGCCCCCTCTGAAAGCAGATACCAAAAGGCGGCACATCAGGCGCCTGAAGCAAAGCCTCTCGAGCACCCCATCCAGTGCAAAGCCACTGCACGAGATGTCCAGGAAGACTTCGGCGGGGTTCCAGCCTTGAGAACTGGTCGCTCTATGCCCTTTCTTCAACGTTCTGCGCTCTGGGAGACTCGCGCTGCCAATCCAGCCGCGCAGTAGGCCACAAACAGGAGGATAATGAAGCAAGTTAGTACCTCTGACTCGTCGGGCATGCAAATGCTACAGGGTATCACTAGATGGTCAGTCAAGTGCATTCACGGATCAGTTAGATGAATCTGTCGGCGGACGCCCGACTTCTGGCAGAAAATGCGACTGCCTGTGGACATGTCCTAGGCAACAAGCGATGTAAGGGTACTGATTTGCCTCGCCCAGCTCAACTCCAGCTCGCGAGGTGATGCTTTCAAGCTGGGTGTGGTTTTTAACAGGTTCTGGCTCGGATATCTGCTGCCTTCCGACCGGGCCAGGGCCAGGGGCGGATCCTCCTGAAGCCTTTGTGCTGGTTGCCCCGTCACAAGGAGTACAAGACTGGTATTGACAAGCTTCACGGTTTCTGATTCTAAACAAGACATACTGTGGGTGTGGTTTGCCCCTTTTGCTGTATCCTGGCCCATCCATTACGATGCCGGCCGTCAGTGCATGTCTGCTTCCTGTCGACGGACATGGCCTTTTGCAGCTGGGAAGTACTACAATGCCGAAGCCGAAGCGGAAAGGACTTCATCTCTACCCAACATGGGAAAGAAATGATATTGTGCGACCTTGCAAGAGGCGATGATCTTGACACTTGTTGCAACGTTGTTGAGAGCTGGTCCAGGCACAGCAGCGCAAACCTGCCTTCATGATACTGTTCACATCAACTCGGAAACTCAGCAAGAGATTTCTGATCTTGCAGAGTCCGCAACTTACAGCAACATTGCAGCATCTCTGCCTGCAGTGCACGCTGAAAGTCACGATGAAAGCTGGAGAAGTCAGCTTACGAGGATCGTAGTAGTGAGACAGAGCCTGCTCCACCGAAACAGCTGTGCTCTCGACAACCCACGCAGATCGCCTCGCGCGCACGACGACGACGACCATACCGAAAGGAAACAAGAGCAGAGTGTGGCAATTGCTGCATCCGTCCAACCACACAAAACCCGTTCGTAGTGAGTCGACCTTCAGGTCGTGAAGCCGATGAGGCTTGGAGATAGCGCGTGCACAACGATCGGCATGCAGGATGCCGTCACATCTTCGGACATACATCTCTTAGTTTTGATTCACTCGCAGTGTGTTGTTTACGAATATAGTCTTTGAGGATCCCTGTGCACACAGGAACCCTACTGAACGTCTTTTTTGGTTGGACCAAACATTCCGACAACTCCTTCTGCTTCTCTCAGAATATGTCAGACTGTTGTTCGTTCGCATGTGAGTGAACTTGCTCAGCCGTGCTATCCTTCAACTCAACAAGTTGTGGGGTCTAGCTGGCATCCAGCCATGACACTCTTGTCTGCTGAAACTTCGGGGCACCAGCGTCTCCTCGCCAATCAGAAGTAGCACACGTAGCGCAAGCCACATCGCACCTCCGCTGACCTGAACTGTTGCTGCTTCTGACTTCTGGCATGCAGGCACACGAAGAACCACAAAATAAAGCGCAACACCCGCAGGTTCAAACACACAGACGGAACTTGGACACGCACGATAAAGCAGATGCGTCCCAGGTAGAGCTTGGTTCCAGAGGCACCGCCGGCAAGTTCCAGCCTGGGCCGACTGAGCTGCTGGTCGTCTCATCTCTTCAGTTTCAGATTTCTCGGTGCCGAGGTCTGCGCAAGACTCGCCTGGAAACCAACACGCGATGCAATGTGCGAGCTCGGCCGCTCCCTTGCTGACCTCAGCGGGCCATCTGCCCAGCAATCTTCGAATATGCTCTTGATGACTGCGAGGCGATGACTCAGAAGATCGTAGATGCCACAAAAGGCAAAGGCGATAGCATGGTACAGAAGCACTGCCAGCGGCAGGTAGTGGCCACTGTCGATACCAGCCTCAAAGTTGCGCAATCATGTAAGATATAGGTCACTTTGCTCAAACTTGGCAAAAAAGCTGTGGGGGCAACTAGGAGGGGAATGGACGCCAAATCGATAAGTTGTGCAACGATCACGCCGACCAGCACGCAGTCCCAAACGGCGGCACCTCAGAGGAAGATGCAGTGCATCATTACATAAACAACACGACCGGTAAAGACAAACAAATGCAGCTCAACATAAGTCTGCCAAAGCAACAATCATACGCTGACGATTCTGAATATGGCTCTTCATTCATGCAGGGACAAGTTCATGAAGGTGCAATGCTCACACAGCTAACATGCATATTGGTAGCTGTCGTGCACATCTGGAGCAGAAACTCTCGGCGGACACCTATGCCCCCGAACCTTCCCACAAAAACACGCCATGGGTTGAGAGGTCCCAGACCACACCCGAAAGCTCAAAGCGAGGTGTTCGGAATTGAGTCCTATCTTGAGATGATGAGTGGGGAGGCTGAGCTACCCAACATCTGAAACATCTAAACGGAGCGCATTGAGAAACACACCATACTGGGAAGACATTACGAATGGCGAGCCACGCACAGGAGAGAGCGAAAAGGAGATCAGGTGTCTCGGCTTGCGAAACCCAAACCCTAAAAGGCTTCTAGGTGGCAAGCCATAATGAAGAAAATGTTGCCTACCAAAACTTGAAACCTTGCTTTACAACAAGATGCTGGCTGCTCAATAAAGCCTTGACATACATGGTAGTTAACCCCAACCTCGCCCTGAACCCTGACAGGTGAATTTGGTTTGCAAACTCCTAAACTTCTAAACCCGAAACGCAACTGTGTGTCCGAACCCCAAACGGAAACAACTAGCTGGCAACCCCTCACCCCTAAAAGTCATGCAGGCTGAGAAGCAGGTTCGAAATCCAGCAGGACGAGCACACAACTGAGAAACCGGAAACCCTGATGCGAAACGTGACACCCATGCCGGCTGAAATCCCTCAGAATATACGTCGATGTGGGCTAGTAAGCCCGAAGCTTACCCCAAATCCGAAAAGGAAGACGGGCAAGCCACAAAACCTTGACAAAAGATGAAGATGTTGTCTGCGAAATTTGACACGCATGGAAAGAACACTGGTTGGAGTCCCTCACAAAGATGTTGGCTGGTAAACCCGAAACTTACCTGAAAACGAAAGAGGGAATTTGGTTAACCCCAAGCCCGAAACGGCTGGCACACCCAAACCCCAAAAGCGATGCAGGCTGCACAACCGTAACCGTGAAAATGCATGTAGGCTCGGAACGACAAGAACGCAACCGAGAAACGCAAGACCCTGAAAAGGTGATGGGTGGCAAGCCCAAACCTTGTAAAAATGCTGGTTGGAATCCCTCACAAAGATGGTGGCTGGTAAACCCGAAACTTGCCCTAAACCCCAAGAGGGGATTTGGCTAACCCCAAGCCCGAAACGGCTGGCACGCACAAACCCCCAAAAGCGATGCAGGCTGCAAAACCGTAATCCTGAAACTGCATGTAAGGTTCGGATCGAGCAGGACAAGCACACAACCGAGAAAGCCGAAACCCTGAAAAGGTGATGGGCGGCAAGCCCAAACTTTGACAAAAGATCAAGATGTTTTGACACGCAGAGCAAAATGCTGGTTGGAATCCCTCAAGATAGATGTGGGCTGGCAACCGGAAACTTACCCCAAAAGGAAGACTTTGGTGGCAAGTCAAAAAATCCCTAAACAACAATGTGCGGTCAACCCTACAACCTCAACGGAATTGACCTCTGAGTAACCACCTCGGCAATAAAACCCAGTCAAATCTAAAAGGAGCGCGTTGAGAAACCCACCACACCGGGACCACGAACAGGAGATGATAAGTGGGCGCAAAAAGGAGATCAGGTGTCTCGGCTTGACAAACACAAACCTTGAAAGGCTGCTGGGTGGCAAGCCAGAATGAAAGGAAAACTTCTAAACTTGAAACTTGAAACGCAACACCCCACACGGAAACAACTAGCTGGCAACCCCTCACCCCTAAAAGTCATGCAGGCTGAGAAGCAGGTTCGAAATCCAGCAGGACGAGCACACAACTGAGAAACCGGAAACCCTGATGCGAAACGTGACACCCATGCCGGCTGAAATCCCTCAGAATATACGTCGATGTGGGCTAGTAAGCCCGAAGCTTACCCCAAATCCGAAAAGGAAGACGGGCAAGCCACAAAACCTTGACAAAAGATGAAGATGTTGTCTGCGAAATTTGACACGCATGGAAAGAACACTGGTTGGAATCCCTCACAAAGATGTTGGCTGGTAAACCCGAAACTTACCTGAAAACGAAAGAGGGAATTTGGTTAACCCCAAGCCCGAAACGGCTGGCACACCCAAACCCCAAAAGCGATGCAAGCTGCAAAACCGTAACCCTGAAAGTGTATGAGCAAACGAGCAGGACAAGCACACAACCGAGAAACCCAAAACCTTGAAGAGGTGACGAGTGGCAAGCCCAAACCTTGACCAAAGTTGACACGCAGATAAATAATGCTGGTTGGAACCCCTCACCAAAATGTTGGCTTGCAAACCCGGTACTGACCCTAAACCCCAAGAGGGAGTTTGGCCACCCGAAGCTTACCCCAAACCCGAAAAGGAAGACTTTGTTGGCAAGTCTTGAACCCTCAATGCAAATCTCTGTCTGGTCAGCCCTTAGTCCGAAACAGCAGGCAGCAGGTTGCGACTGGTTGCAAAAGCGTGACCCTGAAAGTGCATGTAGGTTCGGAACCGAGCAGGGCCAGCACACAACTGAGAATCCCGAAACCCTGAAAAGCGACGGGTGGGAAGCCCGAACCTTGGAAAGAAAATGTAAGTCTCTGCGATACTTGACACCCACAGAAAACATGCCGGCTGGAATTTCTCAACATAGATGCTGGCCGGTAAACCCTAAACTTGCCCGAAACCCCAAAAGGGTGACATTGGTGGCAAGTCCAACACCCTAAACGACGATGTGTGGCCAACCCTTCGCCCTCAACGGAAATGACTGCTTGGCAACCCATGGAACCCAAGAAGCGTGAAACCTGGAAGTGCAGGAGGCAAAAGCTGCAACCCATAGACAAGATGTTAGCTTGAGAACCCTCAAAACAGATGTTGGCTGGTAGATCCTAAATAGAAGGGGATGTTTCTTGCAAAGCCTGAAACCTAAACCAAAACGAATGGTCCCCCAACCCTACACCTTTGAGGACTGCTTAGCAACCCGGATCAACCGGGGCACATTGTCCTAAATGATAGCACCTCACACTTAGCCTAACACACAGTCTTCGTCATGCAATGACGGGCAAAAAACAAAATACAACCCCATGTGAGTCTGCCAACGCGAGGAGCATACTCGACCCTCTCATGACATGGCTCTTCCTTGATGCTGAGACATGTTCATGTAAGTGACTGTAAGTGCTTGAACACCTAACATAGTGATAGCTGTCGTGCACAGGCGGCGTAGAAACTCTCGGCGGACACTTGTGCCCCTCTGCCTTCCCATAAAAAGCAGGCCATGGGTGAGAAGTGACAAACCAGACCCGAAAGCTCAAAGCGAGTGCTCGGAATTGAGTCCTACCAGTACATGGACATGATGGATGACAGTACGGTCAACGGAGGCGATGGACAGGGAGGGACCCAGAAGCTGGAAAACCGAAACGAAAGGGAGGGATCTCACATTGAGAAACCCATCACAGTAAATAAACAATTTGTCATGAGCCACGGATAGGAGATGATTACTGGAAGATCCAAAAACCCGGAAAGCAGATCAGCCGTCTTGGATTCCGAAACACTCCAGGATTTGGTGCGGAGCCCTGCAAGAAGCTGCATTAACCGATGTTGGATTCGATGGCGGCTGGTATGCCAGAACCCCTGGAAGGAGATCTTGATGGCAAGCTCTCAAACCCAACAAAGCCTTATAATCCCAGAAAGTTGAGGTTGGCTGGGAATCAATAACCCTGGACTGAAGTGCCGTGCTGGACCATGTGGACCGAAACCACAACTGCAAGGGCAATTCGTACCCTGATGTAGTCAAGTCACGGATGAGAGCGGCATAGAGCTGCGGAATCTTCGGAACCTGCGTTTGGAATAGAAGACCTACTAATCTCGAGGCATACAGCCACAGCTAAAAAGTCAGCATCCGAAAATGAGAGCCAAGCCAGCTTGGTGTACGCTATCTCCACTGCTAGAGACATCCTGGAGCAGCATCGAAAAACTTCCCTCATTGCACAATCCAGAAAAAAAACAAGGCAGGGGGACGTGGCAGTGGCTGAGAACACAAACATGCGATAGTGCCAGATCTCAACAGATCTGGTCGTCCCAGGTTTGGACGCCCCCTCTGTCATGAAGCGACCTGCAACCAGGTCAGAGCAGACAACACTCCAAAACGACTATCATCTGAGACAGCTTGACGGTATGGAAACCTTGAGGCTCCGCGGGCACATTGGGGGGAAAGCATGTGGCTCGTTCTTGATATCATGGCGACTGCAACGAGACGCACTTGCAACTCTCACGGCAAAGGCATGCTAGAGGGCGGCACGACTCCGGCAGGGACGACCGACTCTTCGCCGACACCAAGTCAGTCTTCACGTCGACACCCCACAGAGCATGCCACTCATCATTTCGAGTAAGGCATGTGAAAAGTGGGTTCTGTGGTGCTCTAGAAAGAGAACCACGGGTCATTTGCCCTCAGGAGCTACTGCATCACTCAGCTTTGATGTTGCTGTATATGAGAAACACAAACTTCGAGGAGCCAATAAAGCCCAGGGAGCCGCAAAATAAAGAGAGACCGATGCAGAAATTCAGCGACGTACCAAAGTAGTACACCGTCTGCAAGAAGCCAGACCTTCACATGCCGAACAACCAAATAAGTCTTAGCAGGTCTCCACTGCAGCTCTCATCTGAGCGTGGTCAACTGAGGCCGCAGCATCTGCGTGGAGTTGTAGAAATAGTGGATCGTATACAGGAAAACATACAATGCTGTTGCTGCACAACTAATGTACGACTGCCACTGCCACCTGTAATCCTCCGCGTTCAGGAGGATGTAGGTGCAGGTAATGCTGACGCACACAATAACGAGACAAAGCAATACCAAAATCGCAAACATGAAGCCGTAGACATAGTAGATCTTGTTGTGGCTCCAAACTGCAGACAGGATGAAATACATCTCGATGAAGAGACAACCAAAGGGCACAATTCCTGCCAAGATGGTCTGTGTACTCATGCGTACCAACATGACACGGTCCTGCAACCATCGTCATGATGGGTGTGAAGGCCCAATGCTTTGTTGGAATCGGCCTGGCTGTGCATCAAAACACAGAAGACGTGAAATGTCGAAGTCACGACACCGAACTGCAAGCATGACGATGTCATTGATGGTGCTGCGCCTACCTTTACGCAGTCAACCAAGGCCTAAGTGCCTGCGAGCCCTTCAACCGCAATTCGATCGGATTAGCATCTGCATCCTACGAGCATGCCGAATTCTCGAATGCAAACTGTCTTGAAGGGCAGCTTTCAAGTTGACACGCAACAACCGTACAGTGGATGAGTTGGATTGTGTTTGAGGAGTTCAGCGACATTAACCGAGACGCTGCACTCGCAGGACACTTCGCCTGCTTTGATGCACTGTGGCCCGCAGGCCATGCTCATAACACGATGGTTTGGGCGGGCTGTGGATCGAGGTATGGTGCAGTTCGCCGTCTCGTCAGATTGGGACTTGTTAAGGAGGTGCCCGTCCTTCTTCCCGTGATTCTGATCCCGGGAAGTGAACCGTGTGCTTCCTTTACGACGCTTGTTGTCCTGCGTTCTGCTGTCATTGCGTGATATTAGGGACCTGAGCTACTGTTGATGCCCAGAATCCTGCATACATACTCCATATCGCGCTATCCACTTCCCCGCAACCCCTGAATTTTCAATGTTGCATCTCGATGGGGTCATGCAGGATGTAGGGAATTCGCACAAGCCCTTCTTCTAGCCCGTGCGTCAGAGCAACATTCAGGGAAGTCGTGGGGATCATCCAAGTCATGCAGGAATAGTTGGGCGCCAGCCGAAGCGTCCTTCGCTTCTTTTCCTTCTTCTGCCCTCATGCTGTCGTGTCTTGCGTAGTTCTTCTGTCCTTTTTTGGAGCCGTTGCTGTGCTCCTTCGGTGATGCTGATGTGGTGCCTTCGATTCCCTGTGAATGCCTGCGAAATACAAAGTACGTGTCGTGAGTGACTGGGCCGATTCTTCAGTTCGCACCTTTCTTTCCAACATCCGGCACTTCTCTTTCCTAACCTTCGTGGCCTCTCCCAGTTGCTCCCTGTGGTGTTTTGGGGAAGAGCTTGTCTTTGTTTAGTGTTGCTGGCAGATGTCAGGCTTACTTTTGTTTCATTTATTGTTTGGGGCTTCTCGTCTTGCTTTTGGGGGGGCAGTGTGTCTACTGGTCGTTGTAGCTCATGCTTCTTATACCGTGCTGTGTCTTCCAGCCTCTGCTGTTGTGTGATATTCCTTGCAATTTTTGCTTCCCTGCGTGAAGACATTGCTGATGCACCTGCTTCTGCTCGTCAAAAACAGATTGACGAGTCCACTAATAGTGCTCGTGACGATGACTAAAACCTTCGAACGGTCCACACGGCTGACCACAGCAACGGTGAACACAAACATCTCGATTCTAGCAGCTGGAATGCTTCTTGCGTTGCCGGCACCTCGGTCTGTTAAAAAATCTCGGACACGAATGGGCAACGAGCGTTGAAAAAAAAACAGCTGCTCAGATCCGCCAGGGACCTCTTCAGATGATGCACGCGGCAGGGGAAGGAGCGCTCTGCAGCTGCTCGCCGTCCAAGTAGCGTGCCAACCTGGAGACAGTTCACAACATGTAACTTTCAACCAAGCACCTGCAGGTGGATGCTAAGTGCCAAGCCGTGTGCAGGGGCACACAAACAGCCAGGAACAGCACCAAAATGATGAATATCGTTTTGAACGGCACCTGATGGAAACGTCCCCTCTGCAGGCAAGACCTTCAACAGGGCACCCGTTTCAAGCTTTGCGGCCCAGTGACTGTAAGCGTAGCTCTGTAGAATATGGCTGTCGTGTTGATGACGACGAAACTAATGAAGGCCTGCACGGTGTTTAATGATTGAATTTCCGCACGTGTCACTGGAGCGGCTCGAAGTCATGCACACAACTGACCCAACAGCAGGAAAGGCGACAAAGCAAACACCTGCACAAACAGCATGTTGCTTGCGCAACAGTCAGCGGTCCCCCAAAACGTGTCAGCTGAGCGAACACACATGACAGGGCCCGTGGGAGCACGGCAGTGGAGCAGGCTTTTTTTGGGACTGCGGCAGAGCATTTGCAGTGCTCCGCTTGTCGTCGGTCAAAGTGGACATGTAAGTAAACCCTGGGCCAGCATGCCAGCACGTGAACGGGGCTTCGAAGCCTTCGAAGGGTGCTTCGGCTTCGAAGCGCGTTCGTGCTTTTCAGTTTCTCTCCCATCCCCGTCAAGCAGACGGAGGAGAACGGCTGTAGAGTCAGGCGCCAGCATGGAATCGTTTAAAGCTCCAAAAACCTGGTCGGTTTGCAGACCCTGGAGAGCCATGCATATTTCCGGGAGGACCTCGGAGGAGTGTTGGACACGTGAGCGGCTGAATGATTTCCAACTATATACTTCCCCTCAGTGGGAGATTAGCTTGAATCCCACGATCGAGTCACCCTGTGCCATCGCACCCGTTCTTATCATTACAGTAGCCCCCACCTGTCAACATGAAGCAATCAGAGTTTGACCTCCCCCTCGAAATGGTCTGGTTATAGATGCGCATAGATGCATTTTTCTTGTTGTAAACGAGGCAGAGATCCACGAACAGACCAAGACAACGCCTGCCGGAAGGTCGCAGGTCACAGATTTACTTAGACTTGCGATGCAGAAAGCTTCTCTGGACATCTTAGTCCGTGGCAAGGCCGGGCATGAACAAGCATTGATAGACCATCGTCCTCACGGTCGAGGAACAAGCCTAACATATTTGCTCCTGCCACTGTCAACTACTCTGCACAGCCGAGTCCTTTTCCAGTGCTGGCCTCCAAACATGCGGAATATTCTTCCACCTTCATACCCGCCAACCTCAGCAGAACATGCCGAAATAGACTGTGCTCGCCTGGCTTCGAATGTGTGGCTTGACTTGGGCGGCCGGCTATAACTGTACAAAGGTAAGCTATGACGAAGGATCCTGCAGTGGCTCCGCGTGATGCGTAGTACCTGCGAGAAGCCCGCGGTCTCATACCGAGAGAGTGGAGAGAAGCTCAGATCATGTGCGACCTGGGAGATCTAGATCAGACGAGATGCGAATTGCATATTGCGAAGATCAGGACAATGAAGACAGTGCAAGCCAGATGGCAGCCCGAGGCATACACCACGGTGAAAATTGCCAAATGGTCTGGCTTTCGAAACACGTCTCCATTAACCTGCTTCCACCCACTCTCATCTCCTTAAGTGGGAAGGCATGCATCAACACGAAGAATCGCGAGATCGAAGAACCTCGCACAACACGGCAAGGACTAAGAAACCCGCCAATTCCATCTAAGTTTTCCAGCTCTTCAGCCTCGCTGGCTGAATACCGGGTGAAGTCACGCCTCCGGTCCAAAGCCAGGGAAACATGAAGCAGCTGGAAGCAGCTGAGTACCAACATTCACATTGACAGAGGCTCCGACTTCAATGTTTTCATCAATATGATCGCGACCACCGCGCACAAAAACAGGCAGAGCATGAAAGAGTTCACGATGGAGAACCAGTGCACCTGTGCCCAAAAGGAGGCACACAATGCACAAGGCGCGAAAGACTACGAGACGAGATGCACAAATGAGAGAGACGACGGCTCATGTGGGCCTTGTGCTCGAAAAACTTCGGGTCCAAATATCGGTTCGTCCTGTCCTGCGGAAAAGCGGCAAAAGCGCGGCAGAAAAATGAGAAGGCAGACTTCTTTCCAGAAGGCAGCGCAGTGTCAGGATTTCAGGTTTCCTGAGAAGCCAGAAGGTGTTGGGAGGCATGCACAGGTAGCATAAATGTCTTTCGCTGCCGCTGTGAAGTCATTGGTATCACCTACATAGTGGGATCCTGGAGCTATGTGGCTCACGGTTCCAAACAAGTCAAGCGAGAATTACGCAAACACGTCAGAACGCTCTCATGCGACCAAACTACGTCTGCATAAAACACATTCACCACAGGAATTGAAGTTATCGCTCATCTGAAACATGTGACATAGGCCAGAGGTGATGCTCCAAAGCTTTCTGCTGGAAGTACACGAGAGGCAGCTGACTCGTCATGCTTGTACTACGTCCTGCTCTCAACCTGTTGCAGTCAAGTCATCACCGGGCGTCCTAACAGAGTTTTATCAAACAGCAACCCTAAAAGCGTCTGAAGTGCCCCACCTGTCTACTCCTCGACGAGACATGCCAGTAGAAGTCAGTAGCTTGAAGCGGTAAGAAACTGCATGCAAGCAAGCGGGTTCCTTGAACTCGTTGCCGGTTGGAAACCACTGGACCGTGTACGACAAGTTGAGTGGTGCGCCACCGTATATTGGCCATGGTGAGGAGGGCTCCATGTCTACCTGGCGCTCACTTCTTGAGGAAAGGAACAGCAGGGTATATATGTTAGTTCACTCTGTGATATCTACATATGTGTATATATATACAGATATATATATATATATATATATATATATACATATATATATATATACATACATATATATATATATACATATATATATATGTATTTATTTATATATACATATATACATATAAGTATACATATATATATATATATATGTGTATATATATATAGTGCAAACTAATTTAGCCTGCAAATCTTATATGTAATACATCATATCTGACATATAGTATCAAACAGAAAACATGTAGCCTACAGTCTATAACTCACAGAACATCACATATAATACCTCGCACGAACCTTACTATGTCATATGAGGTTGTTCTGTTCTAACTGTACGATCTTACATTATGTTATTCTGTATGACACTGTACATGATATGTAATGTTATAAACATGTACTATATACTGTATGATATGCAATCAGAGCCTCGATGATCTGGTCTTGGTTGTAGAACAATGTGAAGTGTCGATGAGTGTAGATTCGCGGAAGAGGCTTCCCCTGCAGATTCGATGGACTCTCAGAGTAGCTCGCTAACTTCCGATGGCGCCCTGCCTTTAAGTGCTTGGGTACTGGTGGGGCAGCTCCCGATGAAGGAAGCTGGAGTGACCTATTGTTGTCCCGGTACATCATCGAGAACCGACCTCAGGTCATGAAGTTCCGTGCTTAGGCACATGACACCTGATTCCAGAGGTGCCGACTGACATCTAATGCAAATTTGGAGTGCTCTCCAACAAATGCCCATATCGGCAAATCGTCGATGTACAGCTGGTACCTGCAGCAGGAAGCAGCTGCATTGCTGGCAACGCTCATGAGCCTCTGCACCAGCGGCTCACCAGTAATTGTCGTTGATCATCCCCGCGAGGTCCTGCTAACCGGAGTTTACATGTACAGCAAAACTAACCAAAAAAGAACAAAACCCGTTGAAACTCCTTGTGTGTGTTTTTTTACCTATTTGTTGGCCCGGACCATAAACTATGTATCGGTAGCATGAGAGCTATCCCTCAGCCTTTGTCCAAACGACCGACATCCCTGAAATACAGTCCTGCAGGGGACACTGTTCAAAGGATATTTTGTTGGGCTACGGCTAAAGACTCGTGCACAGACAGCTAACCTTCACGACTCCTGACGTACATGCAACGAACACGCTGTGCAAGTGTCTCCTTCGCCTTCTCTTCTGTCAGAACCATGCTGCAGAGCTCGGTGTGGCCTTTATTCTGTCCGAAGTGGATGTCCAACCTCAAACTGTCCGACTTAGCAGCTGGATCGGCTTTCGGAACAGATTTCATTCTGAATGCTGCATTGTGGCCGAGGTGAAGAGTGAAATGCGTGGCCCTCAAGGGTTTCACCGATGGAAAGCCTCATGCTCAAGACTTGGAACAGCGAAACTGCCTGCGCACAAATCAAACTGTCACAAGGCCCGAACTCACCATGCTCCACGGATATGTCCTCACCTGCACGGAGTCAGAGGCTGAGCATGTGCTGTATTAATGCGGAACTAAATGCATGTGAGTAGGTAAAGACTGAACCCACGACTTCACCAGGCTCCTTTGCAAAAGATCAACAGACGTGGCATATCGGGAAGCGGGAAACGAAAAGAATCCGTCTAACAGGGACCAGGTGACGTGACTTTCGGATCGCATTTCCTTCGCCGTGTCTAAGGCTTTGCCTGTTCCTGCTGACACTGCTTCGTCTCTCATCTTGCCCTGGCTGCACGGCCTTCGAGCTCACAGAGGCCGAGAATGCTATACTCGTAAGTCTCCTGCACATCTATAGAGGAGGATCGATACTGTGCAGAGAAGCAGCGTGATACCCAAAGAACTGACGAGCGCTGCGGGAAAAAGCTACGACAGGCATACCAGCGCCCAACACAAGTGCCGTACGGGACTGAACAAGAAAAAGCGCAATGGACGCAAGGTCTGGGTTGCAACTTGGTCATGTAATTCATCATTCTACAGGTCTTGCATGAATGACCACACCACCAGATTATCAGTGCCTGCAAGCCTGTAATGTATTTCCGAATGACAGCAGCAACGTGCACTGATGCCAATGTTGCCCGAAGCACAAGACTCTGTTGAAAAATGCACCGAAAACGACATGCAAAGTGCACCCCTGGGCATCCTGCGGGTTGTTGTAGGGACCCACTTTGTCTGTCCATACGACAACATCTTCCAAAGGCTTGTATGTATGGGTGTCTTTGCCTGTCAGCATCAGTTACGGCGATGGCACAACATTTCATCAGAACATTGCTGGCACCAACCTGCCCGCACGCTGCATGGGCTAGTGGCGATCAGAAGTGCCACCGCTGCACGAAGAGCGGACACTGCAGGCCGGTGCAACGGAAACATCCTTGCTGATGAAAGCTGGAAGCGTTCAGTGCCTTGTGCCATTGCCCGCAGCGCAAGTCGGCAGCTTTCTTGTCTTCTGCCCCTTCTGGCCGGCAGCTACAGACATGACCTGCCGGCCAAGGCCCTTGAATCCAAATGGCAGCGAAACTCATCTGTTCAGAAGACTGGTGCTACGCTTCCTGATACTGCTCATCTTCCTGCACCGCTGCCTGCTTTCAGGTGTTACGCTTCTCGCTCTTCCCAACGTTGCTCATCAAGCAGCTAGTCCCACAAGAATGCAGATTTCCGGAATCACCAAACCATGACATGCCACATATTCTTTATGCTTTCGTTGGCTTTGCAAGTTGTCGTTTCATATGGTCCAGATGAGTCCAGATGATGTTCCTCCAGCATGGCTAAAGCATCGTTGAGGATGTCTGACAATAACCATTTTGCGTATGGTTTTAAAAGCAAGCCTTTTTGATTTTGGTCTCCAAGAGGGGTCTTGCAGGGTCGATGCTGTCGGCCGTGGCAGGCCGAGGTGTGCAGATGTTCTTGTTGAAGTTGTTCCAGGCGGCTAGAAAATTTTCATGCGCAAAAAACTGGACACCAAAATCCCAGTACTTTCATAAGGTCAGTGCTGCTGCTCGCGGTTGTGGTGGTGGTGGCGGTGCTGGTGGTGTTGGTGATGCCGATGCTGCTGGTGGTGCTGCTGGTGCTGCTGCTGCCGGTGCTGCTGCTGGTGATGTGGTGCTGGTGGTGCTGGTGGTGCTGGTGGTGCTGGTGGTGCTGGTGGTGCTGCTGGTGGTGCTGGTACGTGGTGGTGGTGGTGGTGCTCCTGCGCTGCTGCGAGCCACACAGTCTGCCCAGACTCTGACGACAAGCTCGATCGACAGATGGACAGCAAGGATGAGTCCACGTCGGAGGCTCATTCAGAGGGGGGTTCTCGATTGGGAGCACATTCAACTGCACATGCCTGACCAAAGTCAAAGATTTACCCGACAAAGCAGCAAAAAGCAAACTACAACTTTAAGATGATCGGCACGCGCTCTTGGTGCAAGTGCAAGATTCCAAGAAGGAACTGCGCGCATGTCATTGGGCCAAGTGGCGGCGGTGGTGGCACGGGCAGCGGCGCTTGCTGTCAGACCGTTGACACCCACTGACCGAGACCTATATACGCTCGAATACAAGAACCATCGGACTTTTCGACATGAATCCATCATTTTTCTAAACAGCGCACACGCGGGCGACAATGGCAAAGACGAATGTGAAACACATGTTCGCAACTTTCTATGATACTGTGCTTTCATTGGGCCTGCAATTTCAATCGATGGATCCAACATGACACACACGGCACTGACGAATTTGGCATGCGAAGAAGCCAAATCCAACACAAGAATTTGACGTCAATTCATTTATTTAGCGTAAGTGGGCCTCGGTGGCTGCAGCTGCATCGCTTGAACAACAGCAACAAACCGAACAAAAACACAAGACAGCGGTGAAACAAACAAACTGGAGAACAAGACTACGTACGTTGCAGCGTGCGGACTTAGTCGCATTAGCAGCTGTTCAGCAAGTGAAAAACGAAGTTTCGCGCTCCTGGATGGTGGACCGTCGTACTGTTTTCTCAACCAGTACACACACTGCGCCGTGTTGAGATGCGGATTCGGAGCACGAGGCGTCGCATGGATAACGAATGAACAAAAATGGAGGCAAAAAAGACATGTCGGAGTTTTGCACCAATTCTCAGAGTAGCAGCGCATTTGGGCAAGTTGCTTGACTCCCACATCAGTGCACGACCTCGGCGTTTTTGGCTTCTTTTTAGGGACATCTGAAGGCGATTAGACGACCTCTTCACGCTCTCCGAGCGTTCTTTATGGCAACACACGAACCTTCCAACCAGTGCAACTGATTGGACGATGTCCATTGCAGCTGCCGGCGAAACTGAGACAGTTCCGAGCTGGAACTTGCATGGACGTCATGTGTTTTGCATGCTCAAAGGTTGCAATCTGCACGAAACCACAGCAATCGAATTGGACTCTAAAAAAGAGTGCTCCATCCAGCCATCTGGAACCATGGATCCCGAGTAGCATTCTTGCTGACTGGATGTGCAGTTTGGTGGCGAGGATCACCTGGTGTCTTATTGAAACATCGAACATGTTTGAGACACACGAATCCTCCTAGCAGCCGAAATTGGGGTGCATCCAGCGACTCCTCAGCGAAGAGGGCTTTAAAGTTTTTGAAGCTGAAGGGTCGAAGGGAGCGGAGGGGGGGCGCCAAAGGGAGAAAGGCTTCGAAGGCTTCGAAAGGAAGCACGAAGGCTTTGAAGGCTTCGAAGGCTGGGGACGAAGGCTTCGCCTTCGAAGAGAACGGATGAAGGGACGGAGGGTTTCGAAGCATTCGAAGAGGGCCGTGAAGGCTTTGAAGCCTTTGCAGCGGGTGGAGACGAAGGCTTTGAAGAAGGGGCTTTGAAGCCTTCGAAGGAAGAGGGCTTCGAAGGCTTTCAAGCTTCAAACGACAGGATAAAGGGAGAGCTTCGAAGCCTTTGAAGAGAGCCCGCACTGGCTATATTGTCGTCTCCATTGCACAGTGCGCGTGTAGAAAGTGTTTCCGGCCCTCTAATGTCTTTTTCTGACCTCTGCAAAGACAAAGGCACGCACACATGACACCGACATGAATTTTTGCAACGCAAACTGAACCAAAACCAACTTAACCATCTTCAAACAACATCTTTTTGACAAAATAAGAACAAAATGTGTCATTGAGAACAAAATCAATGCAAAAAAAAATTCCCAATGCGAAGAAAAGAGAAGCCACACAATATTGCAGGAAGAAGTACAATTCATCCTGGTTTGGTGGACCGGCTCCAGCTGGCACAGCCTTTGTCCTTGCCTTCGACGGCTTCAAAGCTTTCGTTCTGACCTTCAAAGGCTTTAAAGCTTTCGTTCTTGCCTTCGAAGCCTTCGAAGCCTTCGTTCTCGCTTTATTATTCTCTCACTTTGTTTCTTCGCAAAACCCACCGTAAACCGATTTCGTGTGGATTCTTCTTCTATTTGGGTTTGTGATGTCGTTTTGTTTCATTAACTCTTTTTTCTGTGTGGCTTCTTCTTCTTTTGTGTTTGTGATTGCGTTTTATTCCATCAGTTCTTTCTATTTTCTTCGCAAAACCACCATAAAGCGACTTAGCGTGGCTTTTTGCTTTTTGTTCGTGATTGTGTCAAGGCTTCGAAACCCCCTTCTTCCCCTTCGAAGGCTTCGAACTCCCACTCTCCTTCATCCTCAGCTCCGATCAACAGAACTCTTTAGTCGACTTCTTCTCCCAGTTGCAGCTGATCGACAGCCAATCGAACCCAAAAGCCAAGCAGCCGACAGGACACGGAGTATACTTTCGTTCGTGTTCCAGAAAAGACAGAGAGCGCGTCGATGCACAAAAATATTCTTGCGAGGCGACTGGTGCTTGTCTTGCTGACACCTTGGCGAGCACTACAGTTCGCACCCTCCTTTCGACAATTGCGGATTCTGCTGGCTC